ACATTAAAAATGGCCGCCAACAAACTCAAATGTGTCCGTGTCACGTAACCTCGTACGGACTCTAGTTTAAAAGGGGGTAACTCTATGCCATGAACCCAAACCTTTCAAAATTTGCAACTCGTTTCAAAATGGACCTTTTGCTCCGAACATTATTTTTGTTACAGATATCTATATCATGTCAGAGCACATAATGCACATGGCGATTTGGGAGATTTTATTTGCTGATACACCTTCACTGCACAAACATGATGTACAGAGGGCTGAACTGCTGTATCTTCTTCCCGTTGTGCAACAGCAATGAATTTTAAAAAAACATTATCCGAATGTATGTTCTAGTTTTCGGTTTATGTTGATGGCAATTGGGTCATAAACAAGGAAGTTATCAACGTCTCTTTGAACGAACCTTGTTTCTGGTCCGATGGTTCATGTATTTTAAACACAGCTGGATTGATTAGTTCACACACATACACACATATACTCGTAGGCCTATGTATTTAGTAATTGCTGTTTGAAATTAAAATGAAAGCTTAGCAGAAACAAATAGGAAAACAGCATGCCAATAAAGCACCCGGCTGTTCAAAATTTAAAAAGGGAAAGGGGGGGGGGAGTATTACAAAAAGTTGGAAAACGAGGTTGATTGGATACAAACCTTTCAGAATGGCAAAACTTTTTTTTGTAAAATAGGGTTGTACATTATCTGTCTGAGGCGTAACTCCTGGTCTATATAAGGGTACAGCAAAACGAATGGACATTTCCTCTTCCATTTTGTGCATGGGAAACACAAGACGGCCTACCAGCGACACCATTGACAGACAGACAGACAGACAGACAGACAGACAGACAGACAGACAGACAGACAGACACAGAGGTGTGCTGGAAGCCCACCTACAGTATTTAGCTCTGCCAAAACCGCTCGTTCAAGACAGGTTGAGCTCAATCAAATTTTACGTTGTACTAATGCTTGAAATTGTCTCATATATAATACATGTCGTGTGTTATGGTAATGCGTACCATTGATCGGGTACATGTATATTTTTTTCTTTCTGGATTGTCTACATCAATAAAATGCACTTTGCATTTCTTTTCTTTCATCTTCATCTCGGACTGGGTTTTGTAACTGCTCTCATTCTACAAACTCTCTCTCTCTCTCTCTCTCTCTCTCTCTCTCTCTCTCTCTCTCTCTCTCTCTCTCTCTCTCTCTCTCTCTCTCTCTCTCTCTCTCTCTCTCTCTCTCTCTCTCTCTCTCTCTCTCTCTCTCTGTACCGCCACATTTGTAGCGCAATGGGTTTGGAACTTGACCTAAACATGGAAGAATACCTCTCCGATAGTATCTTGATTTCGTGGAAACAAAGGATCAACGTTTCTTTTCCTTTGGGGGGGGGGGGGGGAGGGGGGAGTTAAAACTATTTAAAGAAGACTATTCAGTTTTTTTATCTTTTTCCACTGTTGTTCTAAATTCTATTCCCTTTAAGTTTTGCTCTACTTTTCTTGACCAAAATTAATCAGTGACCAACACTAGTTAAATTGTTTAGGACTACTAGAAAGCAGCCTGTTTCTACCCCTTAGCGTCAGTGTCACAGCCAACCCCGCTTGACTGGATATTAATATTATAGCTCCAAAACAAAAAGATGGAAAACATACTCGATGAAAGACTGTCTTTCCAACCCTGTAATCGGCCAACGTCTTTTGCATGCAACAGCTAAGAGCCTAAACATTATACCACAGACATCAGTGTACCGGGTGTTTTTGGACAATAAACGTCCTTTGTTCCGTCTTACGAAAATATCAGTCAGAAGTAAAAGGCCTAAATCTAGACTTCTGACCTGTACAAAGAAAGATACAGAAGGTCATTCTTAGAAAGATACAGAAGGTCATTCTTAGAAAGATACAGAAGGTCATTCTTACCACCATCCATCAAACTTCTTCCGTCTTAACCATTTTGTTATAAGTATTCATAATATGACCTTAAAGCATGCATCTGAATACCGTTGAGTTACATGTACAATCAGAACACTGAGTATGTATCTAACTTAACATTATTATTGTGTTTACTGTTCATTTACATCGTGCATGTGACTGTAAGCTTGCGTGTGTGAACATGTTTGTGTGTGTGTATGTGTGTGTGTGTGTGTTTGTGTGTGTGTGTGTGTGTGTGTGTGTGTGTATGTTTGTGTGTGTATGTGTGTGTGCGAGTACGTGTATTTGGCTGTGAAAGTCTGTCCATGAGTATGAATATATGCATAGAGGGCGCTGCGTGGAAAGTGCGTGATACGCTTACATCAAAGTTAAAGTTTCGAGAGAAAATGTGCCGCCCCAACCATCTGCCTGGATTTGAGTAGAACAATAAGGACTTAGTCGGGGAAGACTGGGAGACGAGATTTATGCAGTCTGACGGA